ACGCGTGAAAAACTATCTCAGATCTTCATTGAGCGAAAACAAACTGAATGCTCTTGCGTTGCTGACTATAGAGTCAGATTTGTTTCTATCTATCGATTGTGAAGATATTATCCGCGAATTCGCAGCTGAAAAATCAAGACGTAAAGAACTGTGAAAAAGAAGTGTTTGAAAGAGGGTTTTTGTTGAATACCTTATCCATGCTGATGTCGAATTTGTTAATTCCGTTATGTATTTCATTATTAACGAACTATATTGTAATAAAGCACTAACAATAACAATCATATTTGATATATATATATATATTTTTTTTTTTCGTGAAAAAAGGGCGGCAAGTTATGAATTGCCTAGGGGCGGCAAATATTTAAATCCGCCACTGCACACGCTCATTTTTATTTTTACTCTCCCGAAAACTTTGACTTTTGTAGGTTTGATGTCAATTTGGCTTCTACCTGTTTTTATTGTACCATGACTATCAACAGCACTACGATTTTGTTCTCAGAGATCGTGCCAACAGAGCATTGGGATTTTCTTTCACAAGTAAAACCAGCCTTTCGAGCTTGTGTTTAGTATTCACGATGTTAGAACTGCATGAAATTAATAAAAATTGTTTAAAATTAGTGGCTAGCCGCCAAAATGTAAGAAAACATATACAAAATCATACATTTTTCACAATTTTCTAACACTTCGTTACACCATCGAAAGCAAAATTCTGTTCGACAGAAAATTCGATACTCAACGAAAATTTCGACACGCCTGCATAGCTCATAATACGAATTTCACTTTCGATCTTCGATTCTCGATAGCCAGCGAAGATCGAAAATCGAATGCAGCGCATAATAAGGGCCATCGATAAGTTCCGAAAATAGCGTTAGAAAAATCGATACTATGGATAAAAATTTCGATAACAAAATTGATAAAAATATCGATAACACCGATTAAAATATCGATTATTATATCGATAAGTCCCAAGAATCCAGAAAATCTCTAAAATCCCAAAATAGTTCCCAGATTGAGTCTCTGTGTCTCTGTCTTTTCTCTATAATTTTATTCGGTATCCTCATCATCTTTTTTTCATATTTATCTTTGTTTTTACTTTTATGTTTATCGATTTCTTAATCTACATATTCCCCTTCACCTTTACGCTTATATAAATAAAGTGTTTAAATTTACCTTGGTCTTCATTTTTGCCTTAATTTTTACGCATCTTTGGCTTTGTTTTTATTTTTACCTTTGCCTTTATCCTTTTCTTTATCTATGTACGTACTCACTTTTACTTTCATTCTTGTATTGGTCTTTTTCTAAGTGTTATTCTTTAACCTTTTTTTGGCAAGTTTTTGTTAAATTAATACCATGGCATACACTCAAGAAGCATTTGGTTCAGCCCCAACCATTTCCGTTGAATTTGCCAATTCACACCCAACCAACCAACTGGCGCTAAAGAAGTTTCACTTCAAAAATTTGTTGGTTAGAGCCTTTGTGAATTAAGGTAACGATATGTATGCACATAACGGATAACGGACCTACCCACCCAGCCAACAGAGAAACGTAAATTTTGACGAGTGTGGACTCGTACAATTTTTCGTATCCGAAAAGCAACAGAAAACGACTACAATTTTCATTAAACCTCGTATCCGGAAAACGTTCGAAAATGATGGTTTTCAAGCTGAACATTTGAAAGCATGTATTATACGTAGTCGGCAGCGGCTGAGCGTGCACAGAAGCGAGCTAGTATTTGTTAGCTATCAGAAGATGAGCGTTCGAATGCCATCAGGCGCTTCCTTAATTTTTTTTTCGAACCATGAAAAAGTATCTGTGAAGTGCTCTGAAGTGGAAAGCATATTGAACGAAAAGTTTTAGANAGTTAGCTATTAGAAGATGAGCGTTCGAATGTCATCAGGCGCTTCCTTAATTTTTTTTCGAACCATGAAAAAGCATCTGTGAAGTGCTCTGAAGTGGAAAGCATATTGAACGAAAAGTTTTAGAAAAACAGTTTTAAAACAATTTTCGGCACTTAACTGTACATGCACAGCTAGTCAGCCAGCAAAAAATCCGAAAATGGATCCGAAAAAGGAAAAAGTGGTGAAATTCGCATTTTTGTCCGCTTACAAATTCCATTTTAGGATAGTTTGACTATCCGTTCTCCCACTAAAAGTGTGCGTCAGAAACGTACGCATGAGCGACCCCTACGTTCGACCAAAGAAACCTTCTTAGTCGAAATTGCCTTGGAAAAATACTTCGGTTTCGGAGATGAACGGCAAACTTTTTTTCTGGTTCAGTCAATCGACATTAGCATTATATGTACTATATATCATTGAAAAATTGGAGTTGAGCGTTTTGATGACGTTTGCGTTGTTGCCTGGCGTACCGGAACTAGTTCGACCCACTTGGGGGAATTTTTCCACCAGGACGAGGAGGCACATATTCCCTTGTTTTGGGCGCGGGCCGTAACGATTTCCCAAGTCTGCCACCCCTATTGCGAGTGTCGACTAATAGTAGATAAACGACTCCTATTCGAGTACCGCTTTTCCATGGTATTGTGTATGTCGATTTCCCGTTCAATAAGCGACTGTGAATAGTTGTTTATCGCTCATTTTTCAACAACTGTTGGTTTGTAAAAGGATGAGCGACTATAAACTATTCACCCGCACTTATTGAACGAGAAAGCGACTTTGAAAATACCACGGATAATCGATAATCGACTAACACTAGTCGACACTCGCAATAGGGGTGTGTGAGTATCGCATTGTGCCCATCAATCCAGCCGGGCGCGTCCGCCCTGTTATCTGGCGTCGATAGCGGGTATCGGGAGAGTACGTCGGCTACTACGTTTAACGCTCAGGGAATTTTTATACATGATGGAAGGAAAGGGAAAAGAGAAAAAACTCCCAAGGAGTTTCTGTTCAGAATCGGCCTGAATACCATTGTGCACTTTTTATTTTTTAACCTTTTTATATTTATGCTTGCTCGGATATAAATATAATATGCTTGTTATGTAAATATGTATGCAGTAATTTGAATTCACAAACACATTTTTGTTTTGCTTCTGTAATAGTAACTAATGGTTTTATTTAAAACTTTTATAATCGTTATTTGTTTTATTATTTATCATTGATGACGTGAAGTAAGAAATTGAAATTAAAATTATGATATACACGTATAATATATAAATAAAAGCATAAAATTATGTTCTGTATACCTTAAATTGTTTTTCTTTAATTCAACGTTATTTATACTTTGTATAGTATGTATGTTCTTCATACAAGCACATACATACTTGATTTTAGGATTTGTAATCATTATTTAAAAATAGGTGTTATAATTAGGGCTTATACGAGTACGTATATATATATTAAATAATATATTTATATGTTAAGTCAAATGGGCTATAATCAGCCATTGCCTAAACCTTGCGATTTTAATACAGTATGAATGATAATGCTTTGCGCATATAGTATTAGTTTTCATTAGCATATTGTGGTCCTTACTTGTTATTGAGAAATTTGCAGCAACTTGGAACTACTGTTGTTGCAAGAGTAAGAACAAACCTGTTATGAAATAAATACCACGGAAAATGGGATCGGATTAAAGAATTTTTTATTTAACAAAAAATTGTCAAAGAAAGTGCGTGCATTCATTGATCCTGTGTAAAAGTAAAACACTCTTCAACCGAAATCCTTCAATTACTTCGCTCTAGCGCTTTTTATGTCCATTATCTCTAGGCTATACTCACTCAAGGCTCAAACTTTCCCCTCTGGAACCACAGAACACACGATTGACAGAAATATTTTCAAATTAACAAATTTGTTTCAGCTTCCCAAAAACTCTTTGAGCTACTTGTTGTTCAAGAGTTTAATAAATTTTTTTTTTTATTTTAATTCTGAGAGTGAGTTCGGGTGGTGTGTGATTTGTATTTTTCTATAAACTAATATATATTCACTTATACTTTTATTTTTTATCCTTTATTATTTTACTAATTTACACGCCATTAATGTGCTTACCGCTGGTTTTCCACATCTTTAAAGTTTTATTACATACTAACAGAATTAATAAATAAACTTATGTACCGGCAAAATCACACAAAGCGTGTTTGCTTTATCACCCCCCATAGAAGCAACCACACCCCTTCAATTTAAGTGTGTTTTGCTGTCACACAAGTTGTGTAAAAGTAGTTTTTTAAAATATTTGGGGCGGAGTACATCCAGTCCACTTGATCGAATGACGATGACCGGGCTCTCTGTCCCTCGAAGCTGAGTTGTGGTTTAGCGTAGCTGGGCTGCGGCTGTTTGTATGTATGTTGCAGCAATGTGGGGTATGTAGTTACTTTAACAGGTGTGTGGTTGTGGATCGTGGTAGCATCGGAACAAAGCAAAGTACGAAATGCGACCTTATCGATAAATGTAAAGAACGCTCTTACCACCACGTGGTTTTCTTTCACTATCCTTTGTATACATACATTCTATTTAATATGTTCTAATGCATTTTAATTATAGCATGTTTAATCTGAAAAGAAACAAGAAGATTTAGTTTGCAAATACATATGTGGCTACATGGAAAAAAAGCCAATATGATATGCAGAAAACGCTTCATTCATCGCCAGGGCCGAAAAAAATAAGCACGGAAAAATTAATTTTAAGCGCTTAGATAAGCATAAAACATTGGTAAATATGCTCGCAAAACAACAAAAATTAAGTACAGTTTAATGTTTTGTTTTTTATTCAGTTTATTTCAAGGATTGGAAAATTACAATGGACATACAAGTGTTGCTTGATTCTCTCGTTTAAATTTTTTTTTTTTAATATTCGTTATTCTCCTTTTCTTAGAAATTTTAATCTCTTTAATAACACCAATGTCTTCTCGTAGAGACGAACCATTGGTTTTAAATTTTTGTATCCAAGCAGAAATACAATTGAAGTTACGGATTAATAAGCACCAAATATTTTTTATGTTATTATTTGTAAACCTTTTTCTTAGTTCGAAGAATAAAATAAAATCCCAAGAAATTGTAAAGAAAAATTTATTGAGCGAAATTTTCTTAAGCAGTACGAAGTTCTTAAGAAATTTGCTACGCTTTCTACTATGGTTTGCTAAAGTTTGTTTGCGACGAGTACAAGACATCCCTGTTTTCAATAGAAATATATGCCCGTTCCATTATTGCGTAAGGAAAAAGTGAGACAGCATGATCCTTAAAATTAAGCTTTGAAACCCTGAATAAGCAATTCCAAGCAAAAGCTTAAACTTTTCGGCCCTGTTCATCACCTACCAACGGGCACCAAAATAGCTGCTATATGATTTTCTACTTTTCTGGCCATGCTTAAAAATACTATGAGACATTGGTTAACATTTTTCTGGCGCCCTGAAATTCTCAACTCTCTTATAAAAAACATTTTTACATGCCGTTGCGAAGTAAAAAGAATGGTTTTAATAGAATGAATATTTTTAATTTTTTCCGTCACTTGAACAAATAGCAAGCAAGTATATAAAAAATTTAGAAAAGTGCATTCCTTTACCATTTTTATATGAACATTTTGGTTTCCTTGGGAGTTTAAGAATTAATAAGCTCGCCATAAGGATATTTTATTTTAAAGGTATTATAAACTCTCACTGATTTTATCGCTTCAGCATAATTTTTTTCGATTTTCGTGGGATTTTCTTCTAATGATTTATGTTTTATCGATACAGCTATGAAATCTACAACACAGGACAAAAGGTGATTTCATTTCTGCATACTGAACTCAAATTTATTTTTGGATTATAAAACTCTTGCAGCAAATGTTGTTCAAAAGAACAATTTTGTGAACTATTAGTCCGGCGTCCGCTGTGGTGTAGTGGTAAGCAGTGCGCGCTTCCACTCCGCAGCGCCTGGGTTCAAGCCCTGGTCAAAGCAACATTGAAAAAAAATTAGGAAAAAGGCTTTTTCTTAACAGCGGTCGCCCCTTAGCAGGCAATGGCAAACCTCCGCGTGTATTTCTGCCATGAAAAAAAGCTTCTCATAAAAATACAATCGCCGTTCGGAGTCGACGTTAAACTTGTAGGTCCCTCCTCTTTGTGTGACAACATCAAGGCGCACGTCACAAATCGGAGGAGAAGCTCGGCCAAACACTAACATATGTGTAAGCGCCAATCTATTATTAGTCCGGCGTCGGACCATCCTATTTTTTATAGTTTTCTGTTAGCTTAACTTTGTACCACGTTACCGATTTCTATAATTTTTTTTTAATGAGAATTGAAGTCGGTTTTGTTTTTTGATTATCTTTGAGTATGCATGTTAGACATGTTACTATGAAATATGTTTGCGAATTATCTTTTTTATTGTTTTAGTCTCCTACCTATGATGTGACTTTCCATGTTCGTAATACGTGGCTTTGACGCTGGCTGCGGTATAATTGTTATCTCATCATTTATTTTAAGCGGTTTTAATAGCGAATCATTCGCTGCCATTAAATTACTACGCTGCTGATGACTGAGTCCACCACCAATGCCCATTCCACTTCCGCTGGGCATACCACCGGCCGCCGCAGCAGCTGCACTATTCTTCTTGCCATCCATAGCCTTCTTAGCGACGGTACTATGCGCCGTATACACATGTGTCTCGAATTGTTTGTACATACCGAAAGTGGCGGTACACACTGTACATTTGTATGACAAATGTGCAGGTTTTAATGTCATATGATGATCGCGCGACACGTGATTCAATAACTTCCATTGATACATCTGTTTCAGAAAATAATAACAATGTATAAAAAAACTTGTATAGAGCAAGAATATGTAGAAAAATTTACCCTGCCACAAACTGGACACCGGCCGGCATCTTTTCCCTTATTTGCGGCTTCCTGCATCGAGCTTGTGACCAAACCATGAGAGCCCAACAAGTGCCGTTCCAGACCCTGGTCGGTAAAGAATCGAAATTGACATTTTTGACAATTCAACGGCGGTCGGTTGTATATCATTTTTGGGTGTATCTGTAAAAGAAAAAATTAAAATATTGCATTGTATGATTCAAATAAAAGCTCTTACCTTCACTTTGTGCATCCATTGCATGTGGTTGCGTAGCTGTTCAAGATCCTTAATATAGCCATCGCATATTTCACAGATGACGAACTGTGCTTTGCTATTACCACCACCAGCACCCATTGGATTTTGACCAGGCTTCATACCAGCCGGGGGCATTTTGCTTGTCGACGGTGCTGACACAACCGGCTGTGCATTGTTTTGGCGAGGTAGTGGAGTTATTGAAATACTCGGTTGACCGGAAAGCGTCTTTTTTGCAAAAGCATTGGCTGCCTATAGAAATAAGGTTTGTTTATCTTCTGCAAACAATTATATATTCAAACATTTACATACTTGCAACAGTTGCCCTCCTGGTACTTGATAGTTATTGGGTTGCACCACATTAGTAGCCATTTGGGATCTTATAGGTGCGGGCCCACGAAGCAATGCTCCAGTTGACAAAGAACCAGCTTTTTGTGACGCGATAGTTGTAGGGCGACCGCGGGCTTTGTTCGCTGCGTTTTGGGCAGCCATCGCAGCCGCTTGCATGCTGCGTGCTTGTGCTGCTGCTTGTTGCTGTTGCTGTATAGATGCAAGGGCTGCCTTTTGTGCTGCAGCTTGAGCAGCCATAGCCTAAAATAATTACAAAAGAAAGTTGGTAAAAATGGCCTCCAGTCGTATTCTGGTCTATTTAGGTTTTAGTGAGCTACAGACAGTATTAAAATAAAACAAAACGTTTACACATATTGCAAAGTTTACAGCAACGAGCAAAAGTTCATGAATATACATAACTTTATAATGAAGTCGAGACATCTACAAAATTAATATAAATTTGATTATGTGTTTTGAGTTCGCCTCCACTACATTTTGAGCTCTCTTCTCCATAGTCTATTTGTTGATCTCTTTACCCTATTATTTATAACTACTATAAAGCCTATCTTCGGCGCGAAGAACCATATATAAAAAAAAACATTACTCAGTTTACCTGATATGCCGTCGCAGTGCCCACAAGTCCGTGACGTGGCTTGATTCGTGGTATCTTCGCTGGAGCTTCCCAGTCAGCAGGCGGTGCCAAGTTTATTTCAGGCCGGAATTTCTTCGCACAAACTGGTTGATGGCGGCCTAATTTTGCTTTACCGTTGTCTTCAAAGCCACAGTTCGGGCACTGATGATACGGCAAGGGTTTGATAAGACGCGCTTTGATATTATGTATCGCTTCCATGTGATAAACAATTTCGGTAGCATTGCGAATCTCGAAAGGACAAAAGTTACACTTATACAAGGGGCCATTCATATGTGGCGTTTCGTAGTGATTGGCCATCGCAAGTGCAGACTCGGACTTGAAATTGCAAAACTCACATCGTTTCATAGTAAATTTGAATGGCGTGTTCTTCTTTCGAGATGCCTCCAAGTTGCCTGATAGTGCTGATATAGCACGTTCGAATTCTGTAATGTTTTTGCCAAGACTTTTGCGCATTTTACGTTTTTGCAATCGTATCAAATCGGACTGAACAAACTCTTGCACCTGGCCCACACCGATGTCCATGAAAAATTTACCCAATGGACTTTCGAAATAATTATCTTGCCCGAGTTTGGAGGCCACACTGGCGTTTTGTGCTGATGAACTAGGTGATTGGACAAGTGCCGCTGTTGGCTTAATAGCGCCTTTCAGTGCTGGAAAATCATCGCCGGCTTCCTTTATTAACACTTTAGTGCGCAGCCCGGACTCCGAATCATCATCATCGTCATCGTCATCATCTTCATCCGATTCCTCAGACCAAGATTCATCAGGCTCGTCACCACCACGTCTCCGTTTCTTCTTTTTGCTAGTTTTCTCTTCCTTATCCTCCTTATTTTGCTCTGTGATCATGTCAAATTCATCCTCTTTATCGACCTCGGCGAGATCTTCTTTTGTCAATTTATATGTGTCTTCGATATTTTTAACAATATTTTTGAGATTGTCTGCAGGCGGTTTCTCATATATATAGGGAACGATAAATGAAGGCGCCTCCAGAACAAACATATCGTCAGTGAGACCTGGAAGTAAATTTGCGGCATTGAGCCCTGAAAATGATGTGTTGGCGATTGCGGAGCTCGCTATTGGCATGCCAACTGGTATTACGGGTATGAGTTTTGGTGGCCCGCTGGGTAGTACAACGCCAGCTGCTGGCGTTATATTCACAGGATATACATTACTCTCAGCCACTTTCTTAGCAGCGGCAACAGCAGCTGCAGTGGCGGCGGCTGTATCTTGAGCCAAGAGTGATCTTGCATCTTTGATCGATATTTGATTGGTATTGGTACCCGACCCCACGTTACGCAGACGCTTACTTGGCGGCTGTGAATCATCAGAGTGTTGTGGTGAATCAATGGCTAAACTTTTGCGCTTACTTAGATCGTTTACCGTTGGCGCCGGTGTGTCGTCTTCTATTACTACACAATCATCATCTTCATCATCATCTATGATTTGTGTTTCATCAGATGGTTTCGGTTTTGTAGACGTTGTATTTGCTTCTGTATCTGAATCCGATGCAATAACTACGGCACCATCCGAGTCACTACAGATCGATCGCGTTTTACGTACTGAACTAGCCTTCGGCGTTGCGGTACTGTTTTCAGAGATGTTCAGTGTTGTATCAGCGGTAGTCCCTTTAGGAACTGTTATCACTTCATCGTCCGAGTCGTCTCCTAGATCAACAAAGCCACTAGCGTCACTCTTTGAAATACCGTTTTCTTTCTTTTGAGATTTCGACTTTATCTCATTGCTGATCGCAAGTGGATCCCCCGAAATATCCATTGCTTCATGACATTCACCGCTCCTGCTGTCATCATTCTCTCCTTTTGTGGAATTTGCTTGGAGTTCCTGACACTTGACTTCCTTCTCATCCTGACTGGTGGTATCGGCGCCCTCTACTTCACTGACGCTATCGGTGTTGCTGCTAACTGTGGCTGGCCTTTCTACGTTTTCGCTCGGAGCATTACTGTTGTCTTTAGGATCACTTGCTTCTCCCAAAGTGCTTCGCGAGCGCTGCGTGTCGTCTACATCTGCGTCACTTTCGCCGCCAGCTGATTTGTCCGTGCATGTATTGGAGTTTTGTAATTCGTCATTGGATATAGTTGTTGAACTTTGTTTCACAGTTGCAATAATGGGAACAGTTGCTGGGGTGGACGCATCGGCTTTCGTATCATTACTGGATTGTTTAGGGCCATCATTCGCGCAAGCTGTTATCTTGCTGTCTTCACCACCACCAAGTCCGTTTTCTGTAGTGGATGAGGCCGTCATTTGAGAATCATCTTCCTCGGTGTCGGCGCAATCAACGTCCATTTGTTCGTTATGACAGTCGACGTCTGAAACTCGACTTTTAATAATTTTGTTTACACCATTCTGCTGATCTTTTAATTGCTGCCCGTCGTTGGGGATGATTGCCGAAGCACTACCTTCGGTGTAACTTGTAGGCGCTGAGTGATCCTCAGTTATGGTGAGAGTTGAGGAAACGGGTTGCGTGGTTGCCTCCGGCATGATACCATCGACTTCAGTCATTTGTTTGCAGAGTTTTTAGTTTCCACCAAATTCAGCTGCAAATGAAAGGAAAATCTCTTTCAATATTCTCAATTCAATGATGTGGACTAAATAAAGTTTTAGTAAATATCAAATTGCCTTTGCTTTCAAGTAAGGGATTCTCAAACAACTTCAATATTCAAGCTCTGACATTTGGAGTCAACTTACTGTCAGGTTTGAAAATTTATGGTATAAGAACAATCAAAAATATATGTACATACATATGATATTCTTGGGCAAAGTATATTCAAGAACAAATGAGTATGAGTAGAGGAACACAACATATAAGTGACTTAAATTTTAACTAGCTCGGGTTATGTATCAGGTGCCATAAGGTGTTTCTGTTGAAATAGAACTTCTACCCTAGGAAAATCTACCAAAGATACTGGGTCTTAAAGGCTATGATTTATGTATATAATAAAAACTATAATTTGACCGGTTAAATTGAACTCCTTTTTTCGATTATATTGAATAATTTTTTTAAGATTTTGATTTCTTGCGTTTTTATGATCGCTTTGAATACTCTATTATAAAAAAAAATTAAATTTTAAAATAACGGTTATATAATTGAAACAATCAAAAATGATCGACAAAATAAAAATCCAACTTTAAGTGTTAAATTATGTTTTATATGATGATGAATTAAAATATCGATGTATTAATTAATTCTTATTTGGAACTATATATGTACATACGTATGTATATGCATTTAACGAACATTTATTATTTGTTCGAGTTATTTTAATAGAACGTTTAGATAAAATAATGATATTAAAGTAAAGTAAAGATAAAATAATGATATTAAAGTAAAATTACACCAATTAGATTATATATATATATATGGATACATCAGTTAGTTCAGACTGCAAATTTCAGTATATAGTGGTAAGAAGAAGCTATGAAAGAGTGGGAGAAAAAAATGTGGGAACACATATGTACATATACATTAATATATGTATATGTGCATACATATAGACAATAAATAATGAATTGTAAATCGCAAAGGCCGCAGGAAATTCTCTATAAATTTGGTGAAATCGGCTAAATTTGCCGCCAATTGGAACTTATATAGTATCGCTTATGGTAGAACAACTCGCTTTTAGACTTACTTGTGGACGGACGTATGAAAGTACGAACATGCGTACAAACATAAGACACCGACTACGAACGGTGGGTTAAAAGATGGAAAGAAGCAAAAAAGAGAATTAAGTGAACGGGCGGACGGACGGTTGGAACGACGGAGGAACAAACAAACGATTAGACGCCATATTGGATTTTCTACAAAAACGTTGGCAAGCAGATGCATATATATATATAGTATGTACATTTTTGTATATATGTATTTACATATAATATATTTACTTTCAAAAAATGGCACATACATAAATATCTGTGTGCAGATACATGTATAGTATATACATATAGTCTTTTAAAAGTACAAAACCGCGTATCGTCATTCTGCAAAACCGCGTAACTGACATTTGCTGCCAAAAATTGGATTTGCTCACACAAGTTCTTGGCTGAATCCCTATCCATTCGTCCTGCAACATACTAGCCAGAAATGCGATTGCTTAAAAAAAAATAGAACCATTTTGAAATATGATTGTTTTCACTCTTTCTAGCAAATAATTTATGCAACCTCACATACGCAGTTTTGCATTTTGTTGATACGCGGTTTTGTATTTGAAACGGCGATATGTATTTATATGATATACAAACTAAAACATCCAATATACAGGTATTGAAAACGTATATACATATGTACATATGTATGAAGGTATATACATATATGTACTTACGTAAAAATTGTAGATGTTTGTAGATATTTAAACCTATGCATTTGCGTGCACATGCATATACTTATGTACATATGTATATAGTAGATAATGAAGAAAAAACTAATGTGTATCTATACGTAGATGGCTGTATATATCTACAAATGTGTATATGTATGTTTGCGTATCTGTATGTATGTATGTATATATGTACACAAGTAAGTTTTTGGCTCCATCTAACTTTATAACGATAGATAGAAACAGGAAACTTACACTAGCAGCGCTTTTAAGGGGCAAAAACTAGAAGTTGGTGCATATACATATGTATGTATGTATGATAGCTATATCATTTAATATAGGAACATACATAACCATATATACTAAGTACAATATTTGTTGAGACAGTTTGAGTGCACGTAAATATGTATTTTATGTATCTATGTATACATATTTATGTATGTACGGGCGACTACATAGTACATATAATACAAGCAGTTACATAATATGTACATATATGTATATAATGAATGTAAATAAGTAGTTTCTAAAATAGAGCACTGTAATATCATTGGTACTTGTATATATAAATAGTATGTACGTAGGTATATAAGATCATAGCTTACTGTAAACTACTAAAAGATATGCTACCCAGGCACCCACAGTAGAGCACCTTCTTTGCAGATATCCAGCTTTAATGAGGAGCAAAAACGCCAAACTAGGAGCATAGGAGTTCGTAACACTACAAGAGCTCTTTGATATACATATGTTTGCCTCCACAATGTACTCAATTTTATCAACCATGCTGTGGTGTTCAGTGCTTTCTTTTTTATAACATATGAACAAAAACTATTTTTTTGTGGAAGAAAATGCGCAACACCCCCGACAAGAAAAATTCAACAAAATCAATGGAAATTTTGGTGTGTTGAAACTTGCAGTTTATCATACTAAAATTGAATGGGCTACAAAACTGCATATTCGAAAATTTTCTTAAAATTCTGAATAAAAGGTTTGAAATTTTGATGAAAATTTTTTGAAGTTTGATTAATTTTTATGAACTTTGTGCAATTTTTGTGTTATAGATCGAACAATATTTTAAATTAAAATTCTTAAGAATAAGTACATAAACATACGGTGAATGATACAGTGGTCGAAAAAAAATATAGCCGCACCACATTTTGACAAGTTGTAACATATCATATTTTTTATTATTTAATTAAAAAAAAAAATCAACCAACTTTTGCACAAATTACGAGCATTTTTAATTAGATTTCCTAGAAAGATTCTGAGTACAATAAAGTACAAGGTTCAAATGGCTGAAAATTAGCGTTAATTTCTTAGATTTTTTTCCCCCATTTGCTTCCATATAACGAATAAACACAATTTATTTTTATCTTCGACGAAAAAAATTCTAAAAAATTAACGGTAATTTTTAGCCCTTTGAAACTTATACTTTATTCGACTAGAATTCAATGAGCTACAAAACTGCATACTCAGAATCTTTCTAGGAAGTCTAATTAGAAAAGCTAGAAATTTTAACAAAAAGTTTGTTTAATTTTTTTTAATATCGCACAAAGTTTGAAACTGGATTTAGACTGGGTTTGTTAAAGAATAAATTATATTTTTATAAAAAAAAACAACATTAAAAAGGAAATAAGGGGCCGTGTGCATAAAACCTAAGCAAATGCTTTTCTTAAAATTTCAGACCTTCACTCATTTCGTTCAAATAAATTTATGTATGAAATTTTAAGAAAAAGCAATTGCTAAGATCTTATGCATATGACCCAAGTTCTTAAAGCTTGTCAAATGTATAATTTTTTCGACCACCGTATGTCCGATACTGTACTAAAAGACTTTTAGGATTAATAAAAAAAATGGAATTTTGGTATAATAATGGCCTCATGATTTTAAAGCATGCTTCATATTGTGCAGAAATTTCAATGTCTAAGTAGTTTCCGCATGAGGAGCGAAAATGTACATATCTCTATTTTCACCATGATGAGTGTCAATTGGAAACTTTGAACGCATCTCCTGAGCAATAATTGCATTTTTTGGCTGTTGTTTAGTAAATTACAGCGTGTCTCTGCTGCAAGTGTCAAAATATAAAATAAATGCAGTAATGGGCGGTCTCTTCTATTTTGTGTAAAAATATCTTAGCTGCATGGATTGACCATAGCTCAATAAGACAAAATCGGTCTTTATTTGTATCATGGGAGCTTATGTATGTATGTAAATTGTATTCTTTAAATTCATTTTCTCCAGTTTTTGATTATGGCACTCTTGCAGAAAAAAATACGTTATGTATGTACATACGTATGCATGCTGCTATGTAAATACATATTTATGCATTATTTACACATTATTCATATTATTAAAAACAATTTTTTAAGTAATAATTCGTATCTAATTTTGCATTCCCGGTTTCCATTTGATTTGCAGATACACGTTTGTATACATACATAGTATAGCTGCAAGCAAAAAAAAACACTCAGTCAAATATATGTACATACATATTTGTATATACATAATTATATATCGCTTCAATAATGTCATAATAAAAAAAAATAAATTTTGAGTCGAGTATGCAGAAATTACCGCTACCCTATTCTTCTATGTTGTGTAAAAATTTCAAGCTACCTGTATCTCACTAGAATAAAATATGTATTAATTTTTACTAAGGGAGTATATATAAATTAAAAACTTTAAACCCGTTTTTCTCGAGTTTAGCTTTTTTGAGTTATGACACTATTGATGTAAATCAGCGATATGTACATATGTATATGTATGTACCTGAAAAATTTACAAGATGAAGTGCTAACTTTTAGCCGCGGCAAAGGCTTTCACATGCATCTTCTGATGATACTTTTTTTAGTTAAAAACAAAATACATATATACATAAGTACTAAATATTTTTCGTAACATTTTGGTTTTCACTACATTTGCACAAAATCTTTTTTGAGCGTGTCCAAACGCTGTCGTTTTGGTTACGCTACCCTACAAGCCGACAGCTTGTTCTGTCCTCTGAACCCTCTTTGTTTTTGCATCCGCCACTATATTTGCCTGTTTTTCTTGCTAGTCACATTTTGTTATTATTTGGTGTTCATAGCGCTCCTGTAGTCAGATATCAAAGCTGATGAGTGGTTGGTAATACATACATATATATGTATTAGCACAGAAATGTAAGAATTTTACTTAAAAGTAACCAGTGATTGGAGGCGGCTAAGATCAGATGAAGTAAATAAAAATACAATCGCTCACCGTACTCGTTGCCAACGTATGATACCTACTGAAGACATCAGAATGGCGCGAGAGCGTAATCAGCTTGGAAAGCCAATATAACTAGTTGCAACCAGGGTTGCTGCTCTGCTGTACGAATAGCGTTGGAGTAATAAGAGGTCGAAATTAAAAAAAATAGGCAACCCTATATAATTTTATTGAGCTAAAATGCTTTTGTTCAATTTGGCGGAAGATTTTTCAAATATTCTACAAGTCGTATTGAATATTTAAACTGATTTCCTAATCTTATGGATATTTTTTCTTTTTAAATTAGGGCGGTACATGATGAAGGTTAAGGTTGATAAAGGATAATCTTGCTCTTCCAAAAAGTTAAGTAAGTTCCAAAAAATTACTAATCCAGTAAATAATTACTCGTAGTTTCACTGTGTCAGAAGTTTTTATGAATGCTATGTTATAACAGCATTTTCCATTAGAATTAAGATATTCTCTATTTATTAAAGAGGAAATAGTTTCTACTTGAAGTTCATTTCGACATTTTGTTTTTATTAATTTTTGCATGAAGAAGATGAAGAATGTGCAATCGACAACAATCCTTGAGCGATGTTGTCTGTGTTTGAAAACATTGGCTCGTTTAAAATATTTTTGGTGATTCTTATTTTTAACCAAAATCACAAATATTGAGGTTGACAAAATTTTTTAAATCAAGATGTTCAGTCCTAAGTTATGTGTTGTTGTATTCTAGCAATTTCACACATCTGAAACAATAAGTGTATAAGTGGAACAATGATTTGCATATTTCCTGATAACACAGAGGAAGATTTCAGCTTTGAAGCCCAAATTAGAGCTTCGTCGTTAAAATTCTTCATAGTACGACAAAAATTTACACAAAATTGTTTTACGCTTTTTTCTAAAATTTAGAATATCTTCCTATTTTGGTTTTTAATTGTTTTGGCAAATGACCAATTCTGCTTCTGCTACACAATACACGTCTCGTATATTAATTTTATGCGATTCTAATTTTATTACTTTAGAAATTAATCAAAACAGTGCCGTATAATTTAACGAATCAAGTACTGCCAAATTTTGGCTACAGATGAAATTGTACTAAAAAGTGCTGGGTAGTAGGAGAGTAGAAAGCACTTGAAATTGTATCAAAAAAGTACAAATGTATCGAAATTATCAACACTGGGGTATTCCTACTTGTTATTCAATATACTTATTTTAGTAAATAAAATGCCTTTTAATTCGAGCATAAATGCGGGCCCCCCACTCATTCAGTATTTTACTTAAGAGCTCAGCCAAATAAACTGTTTAAAACGGATATATTTGGAAATGAAATCTCTTTCACCCAGAGATCAATTGACGACAAATTAATTCTATTTTGTATGAGACTTTCTGAAGTTTACTGCACTTTGTGAACCATCATTGAAATGTATGCTTATGTACATAAGTTGAATGGAATTAATAGTTAAAATTCCAATAGAAAAACCTGTTTATAAACTGTAAAAAATTATGTGTGCTGCTAGAGATTATTTGAGAAAAAACGCAAAGAATTTTGACAATCAATGTTCACGAAAAAGCAAAGCGCTGTGTGCAGATTTCTGGTCAACCCACAAGTATTTCAATAGAGCTATTTGTTTTCTTTGATAATATTGCATGTCCGTTTCCTGTTCTTACTTCTGACAAGTAAAGCAACACTGAGTTTTGTGCCGGATTCTCACCGGCCGTGGTGGCAAATTGTTGCCGGGCTATTGCTTATTTGACATTCGCATTTGTTTTCCGGTGAGTATCACAAACAGAATGCTCAAATGCCGTCTATGTTTCTGATGGCAGCTGCTTTGGTTTCGTATCGTAAAATGTCAATTAGGTAAAAAACAACATGCGAAAGCGGCAAACAAAACAAAATAGATGACTGTGGTGTATCTTTGGTTGTTGCTCTTTCTGCCTATGTAGCTGTTTGATGGCGCGCTGAGCTAGTAAGACCCAGTACATAGTTTGTATATACATACATTAGTACATCCATAAGAACTAATGCATGTACATATGTATGTTCAAATGTAAAAATATACATACGTATGCATACAAGACCTCCACTTGCAGAAAATTTAGAGCTTTTGTTGCAGGTTTGGATATTCCTCATAAAAGTAGGTACCAGACTATGTTCGTAATAAGTTAGTCCTCAAAAAGTAGAATTAAAATACATAATATGTGTACTGGGCCATTCCATTGTGACTGGTGGGACATTTTACTCCACAATGTGATCAATTGTGAATTATAACTATGTCGTCGGAACTTATACAATAGCAAAAGATTTTTTAACATATAACTATACTATGTAATGTATAAAATTTCTTTAACAAAAATGCCATACGATTTCTTAGTTTTACGTAACTAACACTGAAAAGAACTCTATTTCACCCTTGAGATGATGAGTTTAAGCAAAAACACTTAATCTTGACGAACGATGTTTTTGTGTTGTAAAATATGAATTATACGCTATTGTTTTCAATTAAAACTAGGTTTATATAATCTTCAAAGAAATATTAAAAAATAATTAAAGTTGTGACTGGTGGGACATATCCTTGTGACTGGTATAAAGTTATTATGCATGAAATAAAAGTTTGCATAGACAAAATTTTTTTTAATATTTTTCAACAGATTAATGAAACGCAGTCATTTAGAAAGAGGATACTTCTGAAATAAAGATAATTAGGGCATATATAAATTTATATCGTTTTCCTCCATTACATGGAATGACCCTATTTTTGAATGTATTTAGCTTTAGACCAAAATTAAGCAAAATACCCGAAATTATAAGGAAAAGCGACTGCATATTTTTTATTCACATGAAATGTTTTTTTTTTTAACAATAACAACATTGTCTTAAATATTATATCACTTTACTCTTCCCATTTGAAACCTTGTTTGGATCGAGTAGTAGTAGTTTCGACTACTAGAAAAATTTCGTTGTAAAGAGAGCGAAAGAGAGAGATGGAGTGAAACTATTCTTGTGGTTACGAAAAACTTATCGTGGTGATAAAAAGTAGATTTTTTTTTATATGATTCACACTGTGACAAGAACTATATAAACAAAATTTTCAAACATTCATCAAAATTTCAAACATTTTAATAAAGTTTAGGGTATGCAGTTTGATAGCCCATTTAATTTAATGTGCAAGTTTGAAGCGGCCAAAATATTCGGCGATTTTTGAAAAAGATTTTTTTGACGACGCGTCGACCTTGTGCAGTTTTTCCATGTAATGCAAGCTTTTCATATGGAAAAAATGCGCAACATTATACGGAAAAAAATTGTCAAAAACCAACCATAATTTTGAGCTACTAAAATTAAATGGGCTGTTACTAAACTGCATACCTGAAATGTTCCTTCCTGTTGTAAACCTTTATTTATATGTACATATACTTTTTGTTTGTTGTATGAACTAGGTATGTTAAAAAAATATATATATATTTTTATTAATTTATGAAATTCTTTTTAAGTCCCGACAATCCCGGGATTTGTAATTTGCAGTAGTCGCTATATTTCTTTTTTATTTAAAATTTAATATTTTTTTACATATGTCTAGCTAATTATACATATACATATTTAACACCGTGCGACAGGCAATTTTAGATACAACAAAAAAATCAATATATTCGCGAAGCCATGGCCCAAATATATGCAGTAAAATTGCGTTTTTATCTGTTCTCTCTGCCGTCCGGAGAAAATTTTGTAGAGAAACAACTGATTAAATTTTTGGGCGCACAAGATATTGAAAATGTCCTTAAAACTTGTATCCTTGAAAATTTGCAATATTTATTTTGAAAAAATTATATGTTAAGGACTAATATAAATTTTAGACCGTCCTCGAATATAGTCCTTCTAACTTAATTAGTTAAAAAAAAAATAATATTGATTAAAAGGGCATTTCAATACCTGTCGTCCTTGTGAACCCAAAAAAATTTTTTTTCTTTAATCCTACAGAATTTTCTCTTTCATTTGGTACCCATTTTTATTCTACGTTGCACTGAATTTTTTAAATCATTTTTTAGAATCCATCATATCTTTGAAATTATAAAGTTCCAATAAAAAAATTGTAAAACTAAAAACGCAGTTTTACTATATTTGACCCATAGTGTCGTGAGTATATTGATTGCTTGGTGTTTTGAATTTTTTTTTGTTTCAAACTGTTTCAATCTTTTTACTCAGAATTTTTAGAAAAATTATATGTACGCAATTTTATAAGTATAGCCCATTAAACTACAGGAGGATAAAGTGCAAGTTTCAAGTGACTAAAAGTAACGTTGATTTTTAATAATTTTTTTGCTGGCGGTGTCACGCATTTTCTTCCATACAAAGTATGTCCGGCATTTTGTTTAAATAGAAGAAAATGCCTAGCATCGTTTAAAAAGTTCGTTAAAATCAACGGTATTTTGTAACTGCATTAAACTTCATTTTATCCTACTTTAATTTAATGGGCTATAAAACTGCGAACCTAAAAATGCTGAGTAAAGTTAGAAATTTTGGCAAATTTTTTTTGCATTTTTATAATTTTTACACAAATTTTTAAATGCGCATTTAAATGCAGTTAATTATATATAAAATCAGGTAGACTTTTATAAAAAAAAAATTAAATATTAAAAGAGAAAAGGAATATAGACTAAGCTGGTTGAAATAAGGCGTTTCTTTTATTTATGCCACTAGTATTATGAACACCACACAATATGTTTACTTAACCTTTTTTTGCATCGAGGTTTTTTCGACATGCCTTAAGTTATTTTAGCATATATATACACGCTAAAGTATTGTTAAACGCGTATAAATTTAATTACTGTCTTTTGTTTTGTTACTAATGAAATATTATACAACTTTCAAACCCATTTATTTATTATTTATTATATGGTCCCTGCAGGGAAACCGCGGACTAGTGAATCTAATTTCTAGTTCCGTACTTGGTCTTTATCGCCAAAAAGGATCTAGTCCGATAGGAACTTGATCCCCACTGGTACTTTTAAAAAACTAATTTTTTCCATTTTTTTCACTAGAAATCTATATCTAAAGTGACGAATTTAGAAATGGTTCGAAAGTATAGAAAAAGGGATGCAGAACGAACTAGATCTTACTTTACATAGATACTTTACATAGATATGTGTTCGGCGGCTTTTTCGTTCAAATACGCTTCTATTCTGTGCTTCGCAGATGCTTTTTCATAGCTTGGTAATAGAAAACTAAGATTTGTGTTAACATTTCAACATCTTGGGTCCGTCTGGAATCTAAGAAATAACAGCGAGCACCTCTGCAAACTCAACTACAGCTAAAGGTATGTATACGTACATTTCTTACAATCATTCAAAGAAATTTAATTTCAAATTGAAAACACCGTTCTTCCAAAATAACTTAAAATCGCACACACGGAAGAACCAAAAAGATTGAAAAATCATGATACTTTTTTCTTTCGTCTGCCGATTTTAGAACTGGTTCGGAACTATAGAATTTAGGACTAGTTCGGGACTATCGAAAAAGGGTGCAGCGGGGGGCAATTGACACTTCCTAGGACATCGCCATGTTAAATTCGCCAGTTGCTTGCATGCAAAAGAGATTTATCGCGAACCAGTACTGGGTCTAAATGTACTAGAAGCGCNTTTGTACCACGTTACCGATTTCTATAATTTTTTTTTAATGAGAATTGAAGTCGGTTTTGTTTTTTGATTATCTTTGAGTATGCATGTTAGACATGTTACTATGAAATATGTTTGCGAATTATCTTTTTTATTGTTTTAGTCTCCTACCTATGATGTGACTTTCCATGTTCGTAATACGTGGCTTTGACGCTGGCTGCGGTATAATTGTTATCTCATCATTTATTTTAAGCGGTTTTAATAGCGAATCATTCGCTGCCATTAAATTACTACGCTGCTGATGACTGAGTCCACCACCAATGCCCATTCCACTTCCGCTGGGCATACCACCGGCCGCCGCAGCAGCTGCACTATTCTTCTTGCCATCCATAGCCTTCTTAGCGACGGTACTATGCGCCGTATACACATGTGTCTCGAATTGTTTGTACATACCGAAAGTGGCGGTACACACTGTACATTTGTATGACAAATGTGCAGGTTTTAATGTCATATGATGATCGCGCGACACGTGATTCAATAACTTCCATTGATACATCTGTTTCAGAAAATAATAACAATGTATAAAAAAACTTGTATAGAGCAAGAATATGTAGAAAAATTTACCCTGCCACAAACTGGACACCGGCCGGCATCTTTTCCCTTATTTGCGGCTTCCTGCATCGAGCTTGTGACCAAACCATGAGAGCCCAACAAGTGCCGTTCCAGACCCTGGTCGGTAAAGAATCGAAATTGACATTTTTGACAATTCAACGGCGGTCGGTTGTATATCATTTTTGGGTGTATCTGTAAAAGAAAAAATTAAAATATTGCATTGTATGATTCAAATAAAAGCTCTTACCTTCACTTTGTGCATCCATTGCATGTGGTTGCGTAGCTGTTCAAGATCCTTAATATAGCCATCGCATATTTCACAGATGACGAACTGTGCTTTGCTATTACCACCACCAGCACCCATTGGATTTTGACCAGGCTTCATACCAGCCGGGGGCATTTTGCTTGTCGACGGTGCTGACACAACCGGCTGTGCATTGTTTTGGCGAGGTAGTGGAGTTATTGAAATACTCGGTTGACCGGAAAGCGTCTTTTTTGCAAAAGCATTGGCTGCCTATAGAAATAAGGTTTGTTTATCTTCTGCAAACAATTATATATTCAAACATTTACATACTTGCAACAGTTGCCCTCCTGGTACTTGATAGTTATTGGGTTGCACCACATTAGTAGCCATTTGGGATCTTATAGGTGCGGGCCCACGAAGCAATGCTCCAGTTGACAAAGAACCAGCTTTTTGTGACGCGATAGTTGTAGGGCGACCGCGGGCTTTGTTCGCTGCGTTTTGGGCAGCCATCGCAGCCGCTTGCATGCTGCGTGCTTGTGCTGCTGCTTGTTGCTGTTGCTGTATAGATGCAAGGGCTGCCTTTTGTGCTGCAGCTTGAGCAGCCATAGCCTAAAATAATTACAAAAGAAAGTTGGTAAAAATGGCCTCCAGTCGTATTCTGGTCTATTTAGGTTTTAGTGAGCTACAGACAGTATTAAAATAAAACAAAACGTTTACACATATTGCAAAGTTTACAGCAACGAGCAAAAGTTCATGAATATACATAACTTTATAATGAAGTCGAGACATCTACAAAATTAATATAAATTTGATTATGTGTTTTGAGTTCGCCTCCACTACATTTTGAGCTCTCTTCTCCATAGTCTATTTGTTGATCTCTTTACCCTATTATTTATAACTACTATAAAGCCTATCTTCGGCGCGAAGAACCATATATAAAAAAAAACATTACTCAGTTTACCTGATATGCCGTCGCAGTGCCCACAAGTCCGTGACGTGGCTTGATTCGTGGTATCTTCGCTGGAGCTTCCCAGTCAGCAGGCGGTGCCAAGTTTATTTCAGGCCGGAATTTCTTCGCACAAACTGGTTGATGGCGGCCTAATTTTGCTTTACCGTTGTCTTCAAAGCCACAGTTCGGGCACTGATGATACGGCAAGGGTTTGATAAGACGCGCTTTGATATTATGTATCGCTTCCATGTGATAAACAATTTCGGTAGCATTGCGAATCTCGAAAGGACAAAAGTTACACTTATACAAGGGGCCATTCATATGTGGCGTTTCGTAGTGATTGGCCATCGCAAGTGCAGACTCGGACTTGAAATTGCAAAACTCACATCGTTTCATAGTAAATTTGAATGGCGTGTTCTTCTTTCGAGATGCCTCCAAGTTGCCTGATAGTGCTGATATAGCACGTTCGAATTCTGTAATGTTTTTGCCAAGACTTTTGCGCATTTTACGTTTTTGCAATCGTATCAAATCGGACTGAACAAACTCTTGCACCTGGCCCACACCGATGTCCATGAAAAATTTACCCAATGGACTTTCGAAATAATTATCTTGCCCGAGTTTGGAGGCCACACTGGCGTTTTGTGCTGATGAACTAGGTGATTGGACAAGTGCCGCTGTTGGCTTAATAGCGCCTTTCAGTGCTGGAAAATCATCGCCGGCTTCCTTTATTAACACTTTAGTGCGCAGCCCGGACTCCGAATCATCATCATCGTCATCGTCATCATCTTCATCCGATTCCTCAGACCAAGATTCATCAGGCTCGTCACCACCACGTCTCCGTTTCTTCTTTTTGCTAGTTTTCTCTTCCTTATCCTCCTTATTTTGCTCTGTGATCATGTCAAATTCATCCTCTTTATCGACCTCGGCGAGATCTTCTTTTGTCAATTTATATGTGTCTTCGATATTTTTAACAATATTTTTGAGATTGTCTGCAGGCGGTTTCTCATATATATAGGGAACGATAAATGAAGGCGCCTCCAGAACAAACATATCGTCAGTGAGACCTGGAAGTAAATTTGCGGCATTGAGCCCTGAAAATGATGTGTTGGCGATTGCGGAGCTCGCTATTGGCATGCCAACTGGTATTACGGGTATGAGTTTTGGTGGCCCGCTGGGTAGTACAACGCCAGCTGCTGGCGTTATATTCACAGGATATACATTACTCTCAGCCACTTTCTTAGCAGCGGCAACAGCAGCTGCAGTGGCGGCGGCTGTATCTTGAGCCAAGAGTGATCTTGCATCTTTGATCGATATTTGATTGGTATTGGTACCCGACCCCACGTTACGCAGACGCTTACTTGGCGGCTGTGAATCATCAGAGTGTTGTGGTGAATCAATGGCTAAACTTTTGCGCTTACTTAGATCGTTTACCGTTGGCGCCGGTGTGTCGTCTTCTATTACTACACAATCATCATCTTCATCATCATCTATGATTTGTGTTTCATCAGATGGTTTCGGTTTTGTAGACGTTGTATTTGCTTCTGTATCTGAATCCGATGCAATAACTACGGCACCATCCGAGTCACTACAGATCGATCGCGTTTTACGTACTGAACTAGCCTTCGGCGTTGCGGTACTGTTTTCAGAGATGTTCAGTGTTGTATCAGCGGTAGTCCCTTTAGGAACTGTTATCACTTCATCGTCCGAGTCGTCTCCTAGATCAACAAAGCCACTAGCGTCACTCTTTGAAATACCGTTTTCTTTCTTTTGAGATTTCGACTTTATCTCATTGCTGATCGCAAGTGGATCCCCCGAAATATCCATTGCTTCATGACATTCACCGCTCCTGCTGTCATCATTCTCTCCTTTTGTGGAATTTGCTTGGAGTTCCTGACACTTGACTTCCTTCTCATCCTGACTGGTGGTATCGGCGCCCTCTACTTCACTGACGCTATCGGTGTTGCTGCTAACTGTGGCTGGCCTTTCTACGTTTTCGCTCGGAGCATTACTGTTGTCTTTAGGATCACTTGCTTCTCCCAAAGTGCTTCGCGAGCGCTGCGTGTCGTCTACATCTGCGTCACTTTCGCCGCCAGCTGATTTGTCCGTGCATGTATTGGAGTTTTGTAATTCGTCATTGGATATAGTTGTTGAACTTTGTTTCACAGTTGCAATAATGGGAACAGTTGCTGGGGTGGACGCATCGGCTTTCGTATCATTACTGGATTGTTTAGGGCCATCATTCGCGCAAGCTGTTATCTTGCTGTCTTCACCACCACCAAGTCCGTTTTCTGTAGTGGATGAGGCCGTCATTTGAGAATCATCTTCCTCGGTGTCGGCGCAATCAACGTCCATTTGTTCGTTATGACAGTCGACGTCTGAAACTCGACTTTTAATAATTTTGTTTACACCATTCTGCTGATCTTTTAATTGCTGCCCGTCGTTGGGGATGATTGCCGAAGCACTACCTTCGGTGTAACTTGTAGGCGCTGAGTGATCCTCAGTTATGGTGAGAGTTGAGGAAACGGGTTGCGTGGTTGCCTCCGGCATGATACCATCGACTTCAGTCATTTGTTTGCAGAGTTTTTAGTTTCCACCAAATTCAGCTGCAAATGAAAGGAAAATCTCTTTCAATATTCTCAATTCAATGATGTGGACTAAATAAAGTTTTAGTAAATATCAAATTGCCTTTGCTTTCAAGTAAGGGATTCTCAAACAACTTCAATATTCAAGCTCTGACATTTGGAGTCAACTTACTGTCAGGTTTGAAAATTTATGGTATAAGAACAATCAAAAATATATGTACATACATATGATATTCTTGGGCAAAGTATATTCAAGAACAAATGAGTATGAGTAGAGGAACACAACATATAAGTGACTTAAATTTTAACTAGCTCGGGTTATGTATCAGGTGCCATAAGGTGTTTCTGTTGAAATAGAACTTCTACCCTAGGAAAATCTACCAAAGATACTGGGTCTTAAAGGCTATGATTTATGTATATAATAAAAACTATAATTTGACCGGTTAAATTGAACTCCTTTTTTCGATTATATTGAATAATTTTTTTAAGATTTTGATTTCTTGCGTTTTTATGATCGCTTTGAATACTCTATTATAAAAAAAAATTAAATTTTAAAATAACGGTTATATAATTGAAACAATCAAAAATGATCGACAAAATAAAAATCCAACTTTAAGTGTTAAATTATGTTTTATATGATGATGAATTAAAATATCGATGTATTAATTAATTCTTATTTGGAACTATATATGTACATACGTATGTATATGCATTTAACGAACATTTATTATTTGTTCGAGTTATTTTAATAGAACGTTTAGATAAAATAATGATATTAAAGTAAAGTAAAGATAAAATAATGATATTAAAGTAAAATTACACCAATTAGATTATATATATATATATGGATACATCAGTTAGTTCAGACTGCAAATTTCAGTATATAGTGGTAAGAAGAAGCTATGAAAGAGTGGGAGAAAAAAATGTGGGAACACATATGTACATATACATTAATATATGTATATGTGCATACATATAGACAATAAATAATGAATTGTAAATCGCAAAGGCCGCAGGAAATTCTCTATAAATTTGGTGAAATCGGCTAAATTTGCCGCCAATTGGAACTTATATAGTATCGCTTATGGTAGAACAACTCGCTTTTAGACTTACTTGTGGACGGACGTATGAAAGTACGAACATGCGTACAAACATAAGACACCGACTACGAACGGTGGGTTAAAAGATGGAAAGAAGCAAAAAAGAGAATTAAGTGAACGGGCGGACGGACGGTTGGAACGACGGAGGAACAAACAAACGATTAGACGCCATATTGGATTTTCTACAAAAACGTTGGCAAGCAGATGCATATATATATATAGTATGTACATTTTTGTATATATGTATTTACATATAATATATTTACTTTCAAAAAATGGCACATACATAAATATCTGTGTGCAGATACATGTATAGTATATACATATAGTCTTTTAAAAGTACAAAACCGCGTATCGTCATTCTGCAAAACCGCGTAACTGACATTTGCTGCCAAAAATTGGATTTGCTCACACAAGTTCTTGGCTGAATCCCTATCCATTCGTCCTGCAACATACTAGCCAGAAATGCGATTGCTTAAAAAAAAATAGAACCATTTTGAAATATGATTGTTTTCACTCTTTCTAGCAAATAATTTATGCAACCTCACATACGCAGTTTTGCATTTTGTTGATACGCGGTTTTGTATTTGAAACGGCGATATGTATTTATATGATATACAAACTAAAACATCCAATATACAGGTATTGAAAACGTATATACATATGTACATATGTATGAAGGTATATACATATATGTACTTACGTAAAAATGTGTAGATGTTTGTATGTACATATTTAAACCTATGCATTTGCGTGCACATGCATATACTTATGTACATATATAGTAGATAATGAAGAAAAAATTAATGTGTATCTATACGTAGATGGCTGTATATATGTACAAATGTGTATATGTATGTTTGCGTATCTGTATGTATGTATGTATATATGTACACAAGTAAGTTTTTGGCTCCATCTAACTTTATAACGATAGATAGAAACAGGAAACTTACACTAGCAGCGCTTTTAAGGGGCAAAAACTAGAAGTTGGTGCATATACATATGTATGTATGTATGATAGCTATATCATTTAATATAGGAACATACATAACCATATATACTAAGTACAATATTTGTTGAGACAGTTTGAGTGCACGTAAATATGTATTTTATGTATCTATGTATACATATTTATGTATGTACGGGCGACTACATAGTACATATAATACAAGCAGTTACATAATATGTACATATATGTATATAATGAATGTAAATAAGTAGTTTCTAAAATAGAGCACTGTAATATCATTGGTACTTGTATATATAAATAGTATGTACGTAGGTATATAAGATCATAGCTTACTGTAAACTACTAAAAGATATGCTACCCAGGCACCCACAGTAGAGCACCTTCTTTGCAGATATCCAGCTTTAATGAGGAGCAAAAACGCCAAACTAGGAGCATAGGAGTTCGTAACACTACAAGAGCTCTTTGATATACATATGTTTGCCTCCACAATGTACTCAATTTTATCAACCATGCTGTGGTGTTCAGTGCTTTCTTTTTTATAACATATGAACAAAAACTATTTTTTTGTGGAAGAAAATGCGCAACACCCCCGACAAGAAAAATTCAACAAAATCAATGGAAATTTTGGTGTGTTGAAACTTGCAGTTTATCATACTAAAATTGAATGGGCTACAAAACTGCATATTCGAAAATTTTCTTAAAATTCTGAATAAAAGGTTTGAAATTTTGATGAAAATTTTTTGAAGTTTGATTAATTTTTATGAACTTTGTGCAATTTTTGTGTTATAGATCGAACAATATTTTAAATTAAAATTCTTAAGAATAAGTACATAAACATACGGTGAATGATACAGTGGTCGAAAAAAAATATAGCCGCACCACATTTTGACAAGTTGTAACATATCATATTTTTTATTATTTAATTAAAAAAAAAAATCAACCAACTTTTGCACAAATTACGAGCATTTTTAATTAGATTTCCTAGAAAGATTCTGAGTACAATAAAGTACAAGGTTCAAATGGCTGAAAATTAGCGTTAATTTCTTAGATTTTTTTCCCCCATTTGCTTCCATATAACGAATAAACACAATTTATTTTTATCTTCGACGAAAAAAATTCTAAAAAATTAACGGTAATTTTTAGCCCTTTGAAACTTATACTTTATTCGACTAGAATTCAATGAGCTACAAAACTGCATACTCAGAATCTTTCTAGGAAGTCTAATTAGAAAAGCTAGAAATTTTAACAAAAAGTTTGTTTAATTTTTTTTAATATCGCACAAAGTTTGAAACTGGATTTAGACTGGGTTTGTTAAAGAATAAATTATATTTTTATAAAAAAAAACAACATTAAAAAGGAAATAAGGGGCCGTGTGCATAAAACCTAAGCAAATGCTTTTCTTAAAATTTCAGACCTTCACTCATTTCGTTCAAATAAATTTATGTATGAAATTTTAAGAAAAAGCAATTGCTAAGATCTTATGCATATGACCCAAGTTCTTAAAGCTTGTCAAATGTATAATTTTTTCGACCACCGTATGTCCGATACTGTACTAAAAGACTTTTAGGATTAATAAAAAAAATGGAATTTTGGTATAATAATGGCCTCATGATTTTAAAGCATGCTTCATATTGTGCAGAAATTTCAATGTCTAAGTAGTTTCCGCATGAGGAGCGAAAATGTACATATCTCTATTTTCACCATGATGAGTGTCAATTGGAAACTTTGAACGCATCTCCTGAGCAATAATTGCATTTTTTGGCTGTTGTTTAGTAAATTACAGCGTGTCTCTGCTGCAAGTGTCAAAATATAAAATAAATGCAGTAATGGGCGGTCTCTTCTATTTTGTGTAAAAATATCTTAGCTGCATGGATTGACCATAGCTCAATAAGACAAAATCGGTCTTTATTTGTATCATGGGAGCTTATGTATGTATGTAAATTGTATTCTTTAAATTCATTTTCTCCAGTTTTTGATTATGGCACTCTTGCAGAAAAAAATACGTTATGTATGTACATACGTATGCATGCTGCTATGTAAATACATATTTATGCATTATTTACACATTATTCATATTATTAAAAACAATTTTTTAAGTAATAATTCGTATCTAATTTTGCATTCCCGGTTTCCATTTGATTTGCAGATACACGTTTGTATACATACATAGTATAGCTGCAAGCAAAAAAAAACACTCAGTCAAATATATGTACATACATATTTGTATATACATAATTATATATCGCTTCAATAATGTCATAATAAAAAAAAATAAATTTTGAGTCGAGTATGCAGAAATTACCGCTACCCTATTCTTCTATGTTGTGTAAAAATTTCAAGCTACCTGTATCTCACTAGAATAAAATATGTATTAATTTTTACTAAGGGAGTATATATAAATTAAAAACTTTAAACCCGTTTTTCTCGAGTTTAGCTTTTTTGAGTTATGACACTATTGATGTAAATCAGCGATATGTACATATGTATATGTATGTACCTGAAAAATTTACAAGATGAAGTGCTAACTTTTAGCCGCGGCAAAGGCTTTCACATGCATCTTCTGATGATACTTTTTTTAGTTAAAAACAAAATACATATATACATAAGTACTAAATATTTTTCGTAACATTTTGGTTTTCACTACATTTGCACAAAATCTTTTTTGAGCGTGTCCAAACGCTGTCGTTTTGGTTACGCTACCCTACAAGCCGACAGCTTGTTCTGTCCTCTGAACCCTCTTTGTTTTTGCATCCGCCACTATATTTGCCTGTTTTTCTTGCTAGTCACATTTTGTTATTATTTGGTGTTCATAGCGCTCCTGTAGTCAGATATCAAAGCTGATGAGTGGTTGGTAATACATACATATATATGTATTAGCACAGAAATGTAAGAATTTTACTTAAAAGTAACCAGTGATTGGAGGCGGCTAAGATCAGATGAAGTAAATAAAA